AGGCCCCAATGAGATGGATTTGTACAGTAGCAGCAGCAATGGACTCAAATATAGCAACAATTGTGAGGTTGGAACATGACCCAACAGTGTTTCATTGTGCTGTGCATAGATAGGGTCACTATGAGTCAGTATCGACTCAATGGTACCTAACAACAACAACAACAACAATAGGACATAGTAAAACTCTCCTATTGGGTTTCCTAAACTGTAATTTTTTAGGAGTGCAGATCACCTTTCTCTCTTGGAGTGGCTCGTAGGATCAAACTATCCACCTTTCAGTTGGAAGCTGAGTGCTTAACCACTGCACCACCACAGCTCCTTAGAATGTGGGTAGAATCAATGCATATGATGAGGTACATTCTTCAAGATAATGTTACACCAGGGTACTTCCAAATATTGGTGGAAGAAATCCATTATCTTTTCATTCTATTTTTTGATCAATTTTTTAGAAGTCCTCTCATATGGCAAAAGGGATCTTGCAGATGAAATTAAGATCCTAAAACATTGAATTTTAGTCTAGGCCTATTGTTTAAATATGGGACCCCCTGAAAATGTGTGTTTATAGGAAGTCAATGATTAGAAGCATGAAAATTTGATACACTATTGCTGACTTGAAGATGAAGGGAATGAAGTAACAACAAATGTGAGTGGCCATTAGGAGCTGAAAATGGTGCCCAGCTAATAAAATGTGGCCTTAGTCCAATAGCTTTAAGAAATGGAACTCAAATTATAAAAATTAGCTTGGAAGCAAAGACTTTACTCAGAAACTCCAAGAATTCAAACCAGCCAGCACCTTAATCCCAGCTTTGTGATCCTTTATGTACAGAACATAGTCACATTGCTGGAGTGTGGATATGAAGAACAACGAATCTATAAATGATTACTGTTGTTGTTAAGCGCCATCAAGTCAGTTCTGACTCATCAAGACCCTGTATAGGGTTTCCAAGGAGTGACTGGTGAGCTTGAGCCCCTCACCTTGTGGTTCAAACTGACCTTGCAGTCCAGCATATTAACCTACAGTGCCACACCAGGACTCCATAAATGACTATTGTATACTGCTACTTTTGTGGTCATTTGTTATGCAACAATAAAAACTAACACGAGGGGCCATCAGAAAATTCCTGGAAATTTTTTCGTTATCTTGTAATCCCGTTTTCTTAAAAACTTTTTGAAACTCCCTTATATATACATTGTTGTTGTTGTTTATTGTTTAGTGCCATCAAGTAGGTTTCAACTCACAATGACACTGTATAGGGTTTCCAAAAAGTAACTGGTGAATTTTAACTGCTGAC